TTCAAGTCGAGCTCGAGCGAGGCAGAGAGAGAGAAAGAGATAGATAGATAGATAGATAGAGAGAGAGAGAGAGAGAGAGGGGAATATATCGCGAATATAGCCGCGTTACCGCACGAATTTATGAATCCCCCAACCCAATTTGCTTAAAACGCGAATAAAACGCGTGATTCACCGCCGCGAGAGTGTTATCTCTCGGATATTTTTTTCCAGAAGATCGAAAAAGGTGGATTTTCGGCCACGATTTTGACCGAGAATCGCTTCTTTCTTTCCTCTCTTCTTCTCCTTTTTCTTTCTTTTTTTTCCCCTTCGAGTTAACGCTTGGATCGCCAGGAAAGAATGAAATACGGGCGTAATATAATCGGACCAAGCGCCGTCTTCGATCCAATTTTTTGAATGCCGATTTTGCGAATGATTTTATTTTTATGAATTTTTTACCGGAAAGTGGGATTTTTATCGAAAGTTTTAGCAATTCTTGCGAAATTTTGATAATACATTTTATATTTTTTTTTTATTGTTTAAATTAGTAGTTATTTATTCACATAGTTACATAGATGTGAAAAATAATATACGAGAACGAGGAAGACGAGAAAATCTTGTTATCATCTTCGAACAAATTTTGGATATTCTTTAATTTTTTTTTCTCTCTTCACGAAACAGGAAAATGATCTTCGATATATGTATTTATAAAAATACATTTATCAGTGATCGATAATTTATTGATTCATCTATTGTGATAATAAAAATTCAACAATTAATACGCAATATTTACTAATAATGTGAAAAATGACGTTTTTTAAATCAATTTTATGGGAATAAAATAATAATTTTAATAATAATTCAGTGATCATCTTTATAACATTTATTTCGTGGTACAGTTTCCAAATGTAATGAGAATGGCAGATATATATATATATTTTTTTTTTAACGTATATGCGAGACACAATATTAGCTATTCAGAGAAAATGAGAAGGCATCGTTGAATATATCGGACTCGAGGGATAGGAAACTGAAAAGCCATTCTTCTTTTTTTCACTATTCGGATAGATTACCGGATACATACTGTGTCCTCATCCCTCTCAAGTATGCATAAAAGATTATTTCTTTCTCCGGATAAAGTCCATTCGAGCAATCGTATGCATCGTAATTTGTATTCGATTTCAACTATCTTACGCTTCTTTTATAAATATACATATATATTTATATATGCTCTACATTTTTTCCAATTTTTCTCTCTCTCTCTTTTTTTTTTTTAATAAAACAATTCGAGATACGAATTTTAATATCTGTGAATCATTAACGACTTTATAGGAATTGATTTTGATATATAAATCAAATTAAATTTTTCTATTTTTATTCTTTTTAAATTAATATCGATTTTGATTCTTATATTTCTTTCATTTTCGAGCTTAACATGTTCGAAATATTTCGATTGATTCATTTTTGTTTCATTTTTTATTTTAAAAATTGATGTTAAAGGTGAATTTAAAATTCGTAATAAATTAATAATCTAGAAAAAGTATCGCGTTAATGTAACGTTTCTTTTCACTTTTATTATTTGTTTTATATCCGCGATTGCCCGGGTTGTTTTTAGTAGTATAGATCAATCATTGAAATTAATGCGCATAAATTGCAGTAGAGTGCGTTTCGAAATGGTCATCTCCTCTGTTGGCACATAATCTGCGAAATGTCGATCCATTATATCTCACCCATTATGCTTTATATCGTATAACGTATAAAATATCAATTATTTTAGAATTTTTTTTTTTTTTTT